GCTGTTCCTGGTGCAAGAAAGGCCGTGGTAGGCACAAAGTCAGTTGCGACCTTCGCAACAACGAGGACGTGGACTCGGATGCGGCTGGTGACACTTCGCCGAGCGAGATCCCTGCAGAGTGGCAAGAGCGCTGGTTCAGTGAGTGCCCCAGGGGTAAGGCCCTCATGAGTTTCATTTTCATCTCGAAAGAGCAGATGGAGGATGATGATCGTGGCTTCAAACGATTTATGTCGAGTTTGCTGCTGACTGTGCACCCAGATAGACATGGGACTGGTTCCGAAAACCCCAGCCTGACACGGCTGGTGCTGGACCTGCAGTCTGCATTGTCAAACTGAATTTTGGATTGAATGCCGCGAAGAAAAGGAGTTGCAAGCAGCCAGCTGTCCCGTAGCAATATAGTTCGACAGCATACAGATTCCTGGACTGTCCCCGTTTAGCTGCTGAGGTCAGACCTCATCAGCCCAGCACTGCAGGCTGCAGGAGGCACGGGTTGTCTCGAGCCAAATTAAAGTTGTGCTTGCAGGGAGGAGCATGTGCCTTTGGATCATGGGCAAATTCGACCGCAAGGGCAGTGTGCATTCTGCGCTGTTTGGTGGCGGCAGTGAGACCACCATGGAAGTAGCATCGAGTCTGTGCACAGTGAACAGCACGAATTTGTATTTGTCAGCCTACACACACTAAGTCGCCGAGGCAAGACTTCAACTTGCAACGGTGAAGCAGGAGGCCCAGCATGCCTCGACGAGCTACAGTCCAGTTACAGGCAGCATGTGTGTCTTGATCTTGGCTAGGAGGGGCAGTGTGTTGAAAGTTTCGTTCTCTGTTGGATGCCGGCACTGCGAGAGTGCCTCTGATGTCGGCACTGGGAGAGTGTCCATGTAATGGCGCGCAATGTGCCATTTGAACTGAGAGCATTTCTTGCTGAGGCCTGGGATCTGAGTGGCACCGGCAGCGAGCCCGGATGTCAATGCAAGAGCTCTCAGAGAGGCAGCATGAGCCAAACAGCAGATTTCCTTGGCTTATTCTTTTGTTGCAGAGCCTGTCCCAGTCCTTCCCCAACCCCAACCACTGGCATTTCCAACCAAGGCCAAACTTGCTTGGCCTCAGAACGGGCGGTGGTTTGGCAGGCGGAGCACAGCCGCAATCACGGCTGAATATATACAATTTACATGGAAGGACCTGAGCCACTTCACAAACATGTGTGAAGCATGCAGGAAACACTTGAGTGTGATTGCTTGATTGCTTGCGTCAAAACGCAGCAGCAGGATTTCAGTCTAGATGTTCTTTTTCGCTAAAGCAGTGCACCAGACTTCAAGAATCTGACATCAGAACAGGATCTTCTGTCTGTCTCCATCGTTCAGCAGCTATCTTCGGTGATTTCCACCTATGTAGAATAAGCTCGTTTGTGGATGGACTGCTGACTTACAAGTGCAGCAATGTCGTGGGAGAAGCAAGGCTGGAAGGGGGAGAACCCCTGGCAGGAGGAGAACCCCTGGCAGGCGTCTTGGCAGGAGGAGAACCCGTGGCAGAAAGAGGACCCCTGGCAGGAGACGAACTCCTGGCAAAACGACTCGTGGCAGGACGACTTGTCCTGGCAGGACGAGACGTGGAAGAAGGACTCCTCGGCCCCTTCGAAGTCTTGGAAAGACTCCGGGTCCTGGCAGTGGCAGGATGAGCAGCCGGAGTCTGACGACTGGAGCCACCAGAAGTTGCCTCGCCAGGGCGGCGCCTCAGCCTCCTCTCAAGGCAATGGCCATGGCGATGGCAGCAAGAAGGCCAAGAGCAAAAGAGGCCACGGCAGCCTGGAGGATATGAACGCCAGGAATCGACGGGAGATTCGACGTTGGCGAGAAGACAAGGACGAGCTCGAGAAGGCCCGGTACACCATCCAGCAGCAAGAAGATCTTATCGACAACCTCAGAGGCATGCTGTGGTGCGAGGAGGACAAAACAGCGGAGTTGACCCAGCGAGCCGAGTCCTTGCAGAACACCATGTTCGAAATGGCAGATACGATCCAGGAGATGAGTGGACAAGCGGATCAGCTGAATGAAGAGGCTGTGGAGTCCATGCGAAGCCGCATGCAAGCCGAGGGCAAGGTGGCACAACTCCAGCAGGAGCTGAAGAAGCAGAGGACTCTGAGCACTTTGGAGATTGGCTCGAAAGACCAGGAGTTGAAGGAAATGCAGGCAAAGCTCGACGCGCAGGATGCCGAGCAGAGCGATCGTCTCGGCAGCTTGCACACTGACTTCAAGAGGTACCAGGCCGGCCGGCCCACGTGCTACGAGAAGCTGTATTATAAGATCTAGATTGTAGGCAGGCGTTCTACAGTTCCGTTTCAACACGTTGCGCCAGGAGCTTACCAAAAAATCCATTGCGGAGTCGAAAGAACAGGAGGCCGCTGTCACTTCTGTCGATTTAAGATGGCAGCCTCCTGACAACTGATCGTGACAGGAGAATCTGAGAATGAAGTTGCGGCGGATCGAGAAAGAGAAGGCAACGAGACCATGCGAGAGCATTTGAGGAGCAGGAAGACATTAATTGTGTCCGTCCAGGCAAGGTACGTGGAGCTCGCCAGCCAGTACGAGGAGCATTGGGCAGACAAGGCCTGAAGCCATAAGTGAGTTTAATTTTCGATGCGCAAAGACGCCCGGATTTGTCCTCACAGGAGCGGAGACAGAAGCCACAGCTACGAAGTCCCACGCCGACTCCGACAGAGGTGGCGGAGGATAGTGACTGAGGTCCGCTTGCACGAACATAGCAGGGGCAATGGACGAAGTAGCAGTGAACTTATCTTCGAAGCGATGTGTCCATCCAGGCCCTACATGGAGCTCGTCGAGGAGTACGAGCGAGGCCCCCCAACGCCAAGGGTTTTTTTTTCGCACAGGGCATGCGAGCTGCCGTGACCATAGAAACCTTGTGAGATTCAGTCGCTGCAGGAGAGCCCTGGTCATTTGGCAAGGATGCGGAGGGCGGGCCGGAGGACCTCCCTGCGAAAGTGGCAAAAAAGAGTTCAGAGCGGCACTGGGAGAGTGCAGAGCTGACTTCGACATTTGAGTGTTTCTGCAAGCGCGCTGCAACCTTCATCCTCGATATCCCCTAATTGAAACCCTCGTCCGGTCGCAGGTGGCTACAGATTACGGCAGACCGTCGACCTGATGGAGGTCGGACAAGGACCCGAGCAGAAAAACACTCGACATATTTCGAGCTATTCCGTTGCGAGAGAAGACATACAGTTTACAAGGTGCACTGGGAGAGTGCGCAACAAACAAGCTTGATTTCGACAGACGGGAGGGTCAGGGGGACAGGGGGGGGAGGCGAGGAGGAGGAGCAAAGAGCTGGAGTGGGAGGTGGAAGTAGGCGCGGGGAGAAAGTGTGGCAAGAGGCGAGGGGGGACGGACACGGATGTTGCTGGTAGCTTTTGGACCTTGCTGAGAAGTTTCCCTACGAAGAACATGCCTTGACAAACACAGCGAGTAGGCCGCCTGCATGTTGGGAGAGCACCTTCCTACAGGGTTGCTCGGACTGAGTTGTCTTAATTTCGCGGGGAGTGGTTTCTGACAAGTTGCCAACTGCGACAGTACAGCTTAGCACAGACGTGATGCAATTTTCATCCTGGACATGCCACCTGGCCACCCCTCATCCGATCGCAGGTGGCTACAGACTCAGAGGTGAGGACCGACGACTGGCTGATGGAGTTCGGGCAAGGCAAGGGCCAAAACAGAATAGAAGTTTATGTTTCGGGCGAAAGGTTGCGATAGATAGACGCAAATCAATGTCCATAGTGCACTGGGAGAGTGCGAAAGCATGTCCAAGCGGAAGCTCAAACATTGGGAGACTGCCGACTATAATCAAAAGCGTTGCATTGGCAGACCGCTGACTTGTTGCTTGATTGCTGGGGCTCTGGCTTGTTGCAGAATAACTTCGACAGCGCTGGTCCAAACCTCAAGCCCGTCTCAAATATAAACCATCGCCAGGAGTTTCTTAAGCCACCCTCTCGCTGCTATCGGCTTATTTCAGCACTCTCTCAGTGCGCTCGTCTGATGAGGGTTCAGTAGCACTCTCGCAGTGCCTTCGGCGGTGAAGCTGGGACAGGTCCCAGCCGGCACTCTCTCAGTGCCACTGTGGGTTTAGGGTTATTTGGGGTTTAGGGTTTCTTCTCAAGGGCACTCTCCCAGTGCTCCCAGCCGGCACTCTCTCAGTGCCACTGGGTTTATTTAGGGTTTAGGGTTTCTGAAGGGCACTCTCCCAGTGCTCCGACCAAGAACCACCCCCAACCAATAAACCGTAAAGCACCAGAAACCCTTAAACCCTGAAACCCTAAACCCCCTATAAAGCCCTATCCCCCAGTGACCTTGGGGAAGCCGTCGGTGTTTAGACAAAGCACCCCCGTCGCTCCAGGTCTGACAAGGCGCTCGCAGCTCAGTTTTTAGGCTGGGGGTGTGTGGGGGTTAAGGGATCTAAAGCTGAAAGGCCAGATGGGCCAACAACGGAAATTTCGATACCTACTGTCATACATAGAAGACTTGTGCTATCGTATACCAAAAATGAAGAAGACATACCAAACCTATCCCCTAGGGTTTTAGGGTTCCTGAGGCTTTAGGGTTCAAGGGTCCAGTGTTTAAAGTTTTTAAAGGTTTAGGATTCAAAACGTTATACCTCAAACGTAGAAGTCAATGCTTTGAGCTCGAACCCCCAACATATAACAAAACTTAGATTATTTTATGGATTTCCATACTAACGGAGATCCCATTATCTTTTCGCTTTACACGAAATTGGTAATGAATACTTGTTGCCGAAAGAGAAATGAAAGAATATACTCAACCTCAACTCGAACCCTGCACACGTCGTGTGGTATGGTGTTGATTTTTTTGATGTCATGCTTCAACAAATTTCAAATGAGTCATCGACACGTGGATTTTGCCACCCTGCAAATATTTGTATTGGATGCTGGCTGCCGGATGACATTCTTGAACTGAAACAATCAAAAATGAGTGTTTGCCATCTCAAACAAAGTTGCAATACACCTCAGAAACAACAAGGGGCAACTCATTTTATTTCGCTATAGCCATGGTTGTTTCCCCCCGTCCCGATCATCATTGAAGTCGTTTTGCTCCAACAACACATGCACACACCAGGCTTCCACCCAAAAACTGTTTCCACCCTAACTGTGGGTCGGCAAGCAATGCACAAGACGATCTCCAACAGCTCGGGAAAGGCCTCGCCACCCCGCAGGTAGTCGAGCATCTTCTCGACTTCCTTGACAATGTAGTAGTCGGCCACCAGGTGGCTGCAGCGCACCCCGTGGACCAAAATCTCGGGAAGCTGCTCGTGCGCCGCACTTACTGGCTGAGGGGTTGGTGGCGCCGGTGGCGCCGGTGGTGGCTGCTCCGCGGGCGCTGCCTCTGCAGGCGCTGCCTCTGCGGGCTCCGTGGCTGCTGGCTGGGCTGCTGGCTCGGCAGCCTCCTCGGTGCGTCGGCGCTTCGGCGACGGCTCCCCCGCAGCCAGCTGCTCGAACACACACGACGCGGGCATCAGGAGGCGGACCAAGAAATACCTTTCGGTGACTCGAATCCAACGTTCCGCTCCTGTCTTCACGATTGGCTTGTTGTACATGAGCCCCTTGCTCTCCTCGTGGTAAACGATCTCCATGCCAGGCAAGCCGTTTCGCGGCTGGGCTTCCATCTTCTCAAGCCCCAGGCTCTTCAGCTCGCTCTCCGGGAAAGTGCGCCCTTCCCACTGCATGACCTGGACAAGGGCCATGGAGCCCTTCAACGCCGCCAGGCGACAGTCCAAGCCGCACAGCTCGAACGCGGCGCCAAGGTCATCTACCTCGAAGCACTGCGGGGACAGCACGCCGCCCCTGATGAGCACACCGTCCACGAAGCGGTCGACACAGTGGATCGACAGCCCGACGGAAAGGAGCTTGCGGATCTTGTCATCCTCGCGTTGGCGCTTGGAATCCTCGCGCTGGCGCTTCAGCTCCTCCTTGGCCTTCTCGCGCTCGCGCTTGGTCGCCTGCTTGGCCAGCTCCCTGTGGTGCTGGCTGCTGCCCTCGGCCCCGAGGATGCGGTCGAGCTTCTGCTCGATGCGGCCGACGCCGTCCTTGATCTCGCCCTGGCCCTGCTTCAGCTCGGCCTGGCCCTGCTTGAGATCCCTCGTGTTACTGAGGGTCTCCTTTTGCAACCTTCTTGCGGTGCTCCATGCCCTCCTTGCGCTTGGCCTCCAGCTCGGCGAGCTCCCGCTTGCACGCCTCGTGCTCTTCCTGGGTCAGTTTGCGGCCGAGGCAGCCTTTCGTCGCGGAGCGCATGTGGCCGGTCTGCACCTTGAAGCGGAGCGTCTGCAAAGAGCCCTTTCCGGGCACGTGCTGGCTCGGCATCGCGGCTACTCTGAAGGCTGCGGCGATTTCGGAGATCAGCGAATTGCTGCGGAATGAAATTTCTAAAAGGCAGCAGGGGAGAAGCGAGCAACCGAACGAGCCTGACCTGTGGTGCACCTGTGGTGCACCTGTGGTGCACCTAGCTTTCGGGGAGGCCCCTATAGAAGGGTGCCCAGCGTCCGGAGCAATCGTGCCAACCGAGCTTTTGTGGTGCATTCTGGGTTTTGAGGGGCCCCCTATAGAAGGGTGCCCAGCGTCCGGAGCAATCGTGCCAACCGAGCTTTTGTGGTGCACCCTGGGTTTTGAGGGGCCCCCTATAGAAGGGTGCCCAGCGTCCGGAGCAATCGTGCCAACCGAGCTTTTGTGGTGCACCCCTGGGTTTTGAGGTGCCCCCTATAGAAGGGTGCCCAGCGTCCGGAGCAATCGTGCCAACCGAGCTTTTGTGGTGCACCCCTGGGGTTTGAGGGGCCCCCAGGGTGCCCAGCGTCCGGAGCAATCGTGCCAACCGAGCTTTTGTGGTGCACCCCTGAATTTTGAGGGGCCCCCTATAGAAGGGTGCCCAGCGTCCGGAGCAATCGTGCCAACCGAGCTTTTGTGGTGCACCCCTGGGTTTTGAGAGACCCCCCTAAAGAAGGGTGCCCAGCGTCCGGAGCAATCGTGCCAACCGAGCTTTTGTGGTGCACCTGTGGTGCACCTGCGGCGGTGCATCACCCCGGCCCATGTTCCGGCCCGTGGGCCCAATGGTCCGGGCACGAAGCCCCAATGATCCGGCCCGTGGGCCCAGTGGTTCGACCAGGATGTGCGCCCCCAGCCAATTTAAGCCCCTCGGTCCCCTATGTAAGAAGGGGAAAAAGGTGGCTCCAAGGAGTTTTTTATTCCAATCCGGCTTGGGTGGCCCTTGGGCCCAATGCTACTCCGAAGAGCTGATGGTGCTCCGAAGAGCTGATGGTGCTCCGAAGAGCTGATGGTGCTCCGTGGAGCTGATGGCGCTCCGTGGAGCCTATCGTGCACCACACGATCCCGTTCCTCGATCTGTCGCGGCCTGCCTGTTGTTTTGTCGCGTCGTCCCTGTGGGGTCCTAGGCTTAGCCCCTCGCCATGACGCTTGTGCCGGGAGGAGGGCCCGGGACTCGCGCGGGCTGCTCCCGCTCGGCCCCCCTCCTCGGCTTCTTTGGGGTCCTAGGCTTAGCCCCTCGCCATCTCCAAGTGTTGTGCCGGGAGGAGGGCCCGGGACTCGCGCGGGCTGCTCCCGCTCGGCCCCCCCTCCTCGGCTTTCTTTGGGGTTCTCGGCTTTGAATGGCGATGCGCACAGTGATGCTCCCGCTTGGCCCCCTGACCCCTCTTTTTCACCGTCGCGTGAAGTCGCGACGGTGGCCGCCCCAGCGGCGGCTGCACCTGGGGCCGCGGAGGGGGCCGGGGATCCCGGATGCAAGGCAGCCTAGGGGGACCCCAAGGGGTTCGGGACCTAAAAACCCCAAAACCCTCAGCAGAAGCCCTCGCGCCTGCACTCTAGACCTGGCAGCCTGAGGAAACCCACGCCTTCCAACCTTCGAAATGACCCTGAACCAAACCCGAAGCCTTGCGCGCACAGTCCACTGCCTCGCTGCCTAGGAAATCCAAAAAACCGCCTCGGAACACCCCGAAGCCTAGGGGGGAGTGCCCGGCGACGAGGAGACGGTCCGGACCTGGGCAAGGGGAGGAGCAGGGGGCGGGGAGGGAGCGCAAACCACCTCGCAACCTCGGAGCCCCAAAGACCTGCAAACCGAACAAACCCTGAACCTTGCGCGCACAGACACTCCTACCTGCACTCCTAGTGGCGACCCTCCTACGGCTACACTGCGGGAGCCCGGCCGCGAGCGAAGAGGACCTGGGCGGCGAGAGCAAGGAGGAGGGAGAGGGTCGGGGAGGGGAGCGCGCAAACACTGCCTGGCAGCCTCGGAGCCCAAACCACCTGAAACCGAACAAACCCTGAACAAACCCCGAAGCCTCGCACGACAGAGCACTCCTACCGGCGACCCCTCCTACCGCAGCACTCTAAGTTCCCGGCCGCGCCCCGCCCGCCCCGACCGCCCGCCCCACCCAGCCCGCCCTCCCCGCCCCCCCGGCCCGGCTTGAAGCAAAAAGGCAGAAGAAGCACAGAGTTGAAGCAGCAGCGGCAGAAGCAAAAGGGGGTCGGGACCTAAGGCAGGGACGAGGGGTTCGGGCTCCTACGGGGGTGGGGCTCGTCGCGCACTCACTTTGCATGCAGGGTACTTGGCTCCTCGCTGTCGATCGAAGCCAAGGTCAAGAAGAGAGACGAGAAAAAGCCCTTGAGAGGGCGGAGGACTTCGAGCGCCGAACAGTTCCTCACGGACAAGGCTCTCCAGGAGAATCCTTTGCTGCTGGCTGCGCAAATGCAGCAGTTAATGACCGGCTTGAGATGGTGGATTGCATGGTGGGGCTGCAGGTTGCTTTGAGGCAGGAAGCTGCGGAAAGAACGGCTTTGGAACGTCGTTGGACTTCTTTGGGGCATCATCTTGGAGGCTTTCATGCAAGGAGAGGCTGTTCCGAAACCACCTGTCCCGATGAGTCCTGCTTCGAGACCTGCTCCGCGTGCAAGGGGGAGGTCGCCTAGGAGCAGACTTCACTGTGATGACTGGGGCGCCGCTTCCAAGGCTGAGGGCTCCCTCGAGGCGGCTGTCCCGGAGGAGTCGGGTGCGAGGCCGACAGCACTTCCCTTGGCGCAGAGCTTGCAGCCGGTTCATCCGCGCAGTCTCAGTCTCGAAAAGCTTGAGGGTCAAGACGAAGATGTGGCCATGTGCGGAGACATACGCGGGACGGTGGAGCCGAAGGAGAGCATTCACCCGCTCCGTCAAGCCCGCCGACTCGACAGAGGTCCCGATCCAAGGAAGCTGCTCAGGAGCGGGAACAATGGCACTGTCCGTGGCACTGCCCGTCACCAAAAACGTGGCCGGCTCGGCCTCCTGGGGCCCGACCTCCGCCGCCCCGAGCAGCAGCTTCCTCCTCTGGGTCCCAGTCTCTGCCACCTTAGCATTTTCCATTTCAGGAGAAGCTCCTCCATCATTATCCGGTGTGCCGGAAACTCTGCACCATAAAGCCATCATCACCAGCAGAGAAAAACACCATCCTTTCATGAGCTCCGCGGTTGGATCCGTGGTTGAGATGCCGTCTTGGCTATGTTAAGCTGACTGCAAAATGTGCTTATGAGCTGCCCTCAGGTATGGTGCTGCCTGCTGTACTTCGCTCCGTTCGCTCCGCTCGGGTCCACAATCGTGGAGCTCCGATTCGTCCAAAAATTTTGGGCCTGAAGGCCGAAGATCGTTGCGTCCTACGGCTCTGAGCCCTCTCGGTCTTTCGTTTTTGACCCAAGGCTGTAGGCTCAACACCGATTTTTGAATCAGCTCCTGCGTAGACGATCGATTGTGGGGCGGAGACACTGCTATACAAGAGAGAGGCCGCACTTTTGTTCCAGTTTCAGGGCTGTGCGGGTTATCGCTGAAAGTTGGAGGGTGTGGTGCACCGTGGTGCACCTGTGGTGCATCTTGCACCTTCAGAGGTCCGGGAGGTCCGGGAGGTCACAGTTTCTGGGCTGTGCGGATTATCGCTGAAAGTTGGGGGGTGTGGTGCACCTGTGGTGCACCTGTAGTGCACCTTCGGAGGTCCGGGAGGTCCGGCAGGTCGCGGTTTCTGGACTGTGCGGGTTATCACTAAAAGTTGGGGGGCGTGGTTGTGGTGCACCTGGGATGCTGCCAACTCGTCGTCGCCGCGTCGTCGTTAGAATATCGCACACGGAAAATGTTTACATCCCAGGCAGGTTCGGTCGTGGGAGGTCGTTGTCGTCATCGTTTAGGTTGCGAAAATCCAACGGGAGTTTTGATGGTGCGTCCTGAGTCCCTTGTTGCAGAGTTGGAGGCCCGCTTTGGGAGTTGGAGGTCGGAGGTCCCAGGTGAGGTCGGAGGTTCCAGGTGAGGTCGGAGGTCCCAGGTGAGGTCGGAGGTCCCAGGTGAGGTCGGAGGTCCGACGTTCGGGCAGCTCATTTCGTGCGTGCGCACTGATTTTACAGGATTTTGTGCATCATGTGCTGGCACGTGTGTGGAGCTGCTGTGGAGCTGACCTTGTCCCAGTTTCCCATCCGCCCTTGATTTTGAGGATGCCGAGCCGTGGTTCAAGATCGAGCGGTCCACGGAACGGACTGAGCGAGCGGAGCAAACGAAGCGGAGGAGCGAAACGAACGAGGGAGCGGTGCGAAAACGAACGAGAGCGGAGCGGAGCAGAGCGAACGGTAGCGAGAGAGTCCACAATCGTGGAGCTCCGATTGCGAGGAAAATTTTGGGCCTAAAAGGCCGAAGATCGTTGCGTCCTACGGCTCTGAGCCCTCTCGATCTTTTGTTTTTGACCCGAGGCTGCAGGCTCAACACCCTTTCGATTTTGAATCAGCTCCTGCGTAGACGATCGATTGGAGCGGAGACACTGCTTTTCAAGAGAGAGATCAGGACATCGAAGCAAATGGAATTTTCACACAACTCCGCCTGCGCTGCGCTTGATCCATGAGCAGATTGACGCAAAGTTGCAGTTTGACGCATGGCTCCGCCTGCAACATTACAAATGACACACACTGGCACATTGATGGAGGTAGGAGTGCGGTTTGTTGTACAAGGAAGCTTTGAGGTATGTGGCCAGGACCAGGAACCTGCGTGCGACCTCGAAGTCGCAAACCACGCCAATTGAAAGGCTGAGACGCCAACATCTTCCAGTGACGAAGACGTTTTCTTTTGGATGCAACAAGGGACGGGCACAAGCGTGTGCGCTGCCGCTTGGTTGTGCGTGACTTTAAAGGGCCTACCTCTGCTTTAGCTGATGGCTCTATTCTCCTACTGCTACCTTAGAGTCTGTGAGGTGTCTGTTGGGGATGTATGCGCATTTCGGAGGGAAGGTGATTTCGGGAGATATCTCGGTGGCCTTCATGCAGGCTAAGCTGTTTTCTATTGAGGTGGTGAAGCT